AGCGATTGCAAAACTTAAGCTTTTCAATCAAGATATTACTTTTTCCAATCATTTAGTGCAATTTCAGATCAATTGCAGAGTTACTTCAGTCGATATGGTCAAGTACGCAGTGTAAATATGTTCTTTGTGAGTATTTACGCTTTTACGCATCTTGTTAGACAACTCTCTTAGACAAGATTTGTTTTCAGCACATTTTTCTTATAGTTCTTTATTCTAGGATGCTGAAACGGGTCTGCATCGCGGTTTTGCTTCTGTGACATTTGAGCATCCAGAAAGTGCTACTCGAGCAATGCAACAGCGACCGCATGTCATTGATGGCGATAGAGTAGGTTTTTAATGAATGACTCGGAGTTTCAGAGTTTTCTCATCAGTGCAGTCAATATAAGTGAAAACTATGTTTCAGGTTGACTTGGAACCATTCATCCCTATGTTGTCGAAGAAGAAGGATATTATATTGTAGGACATAAAGTCGTGTATAGAATTGAGTAGAGTCTCGTGTTTTGGACTCGGGTCATAGGTGTCTGCGTTTCGTCTCATCCCTATCTTTTTATATTTTTTAAAATGCTTTTGAGCTTTCTTCCTATCAGCGGCTTGAACGTACGCAGAAAGTCTATTTGACTTATTTGTAATTAAAATTGGATATAAGTATTCTCATAATGCAATAAACAACGATGTTCTGATTGAAATTGAGAGTACGTTCAAACAGGTATAATCTTTGTCTAGTCATTTTTTATTGGTAACTGAAATTGATAGCCCTCGTGTCTCTAAAAAAACTGTTAATCATATCAATCATTGCTGATACTATTGTGCAACAAAAAATGTACAAACAAATTTCATTTTCTATGTACATCGAATCATCTAAAACCCGTGTGTATTCCAAACTGGTAGCGTATAGGTCTCATAAGCGAAATTTTCTAAATGTGATCGATCATTGTAGACACCTATATAATCCAATTCTAGTTGGAAATCGCCATCTATCCTGTCCATAAGAACTATTCCCAGCGAACTGAAATGTATAATTTTGTATGGACAATAATTTAGTGTTCATGTTAACTTTGCAACGAAATCCTGACCTAACGTTTTCTAAATTTACTCGACACTGTTTGTCTTGGATTCTTCCAGCAACAGTATGGAAAAACCTGGAGAAGGGTATCTTTTCGTACTGCCAATAAGGGCCTCCGTGTGTGTGCAGTGGATATGAGAACGAATCTCCCCATGTCATATCGATAGCAAGTGGAGCATGTA